CCAGGAAGGCTTCCTGGAAGAGATGGAGTTTTTGGCAAGTCCAGGATGAAAGCATTCTAGTGAGGAGAGGGTCATAAGCAGAAGCAAGGAGGCTGGAAAGAGCAGAGCTTCTGGGGCAATGGGCTGTGAGCCCTGCAAGGGTTGGTAGGATGGAATGGAAGGCCTCCAGGCTGGGGAAGTGGAGCAGGTTGCCCGAGCTGGGGATGCCACTGCGGCTTGCAACAGGGGAGGACAGTAGCCACACGGACATCTTAGAAAGTCAGTAATGTCTAACACTTGCTGAGGGCTTGTGTGTTCCAGGCCCTCCGCCCAATGAGCACTTCACACACGTGGTCTCACCTGATGCTCAGCTCGACTCCTGACCTTACAGATGAGGGAGTGGGTTTGAATAGATTGAGTGACCTATCCGAGGTGACAGCTGGGAAGCAGCTGGGAACCCAAGCTTGCTGTTCCCCCAGCCCACCCATTGCTTACCCACTGGGCTGTGCCGCCCACTCTGTGATGAGGTGCTGTCTCTCACGCCCGGGGGCCGTCAGGGGTGCACACGCTTCATCTCCAGGGCCTTCCATCCACCAGTCTTTCCCAACAGAGAGAGTTGTCCTTTCTCTGCCCCCAAAAGGTCTTGGCTGTGCGGTTCCCCGCGTGTTGGCCTTTGGTCTCCCGCCCATGGCACCCCCAGCCAGGAGGATAATGAGAGACTAGGGAAAACCCCCAGGCCACAGAGCCATTAAAGTGTGCGCCAGGTCCCCAGCCCGAAAGAAAACAGCTTGTGAGAATTAGAGGAGAGGAAGGGAGCGTGCGGAGGGCCAGGAGGGAGAGGCCTCTCGGGCCCTGACCACCGGTATGTTCTGTGGGTGGCGGTTTGGGACGACGTGCTTTGGGGCCACAGAACCATCCTGCACCTCAGCTCGCTGTGTGCGCGCACGTGTGTGGCTGTGTCGAGCGGGGGCGACTGCCAGTGAGTGTGCGTGTCCGTGTCAGCGGGTGCACGTGTGCGTGTGTGCAGGGGGGCACGGGGGTCCCCGGCGCTGTGGGCTGGCCTCGCCCGGGTCCGTGTGAGCCGTGTGGGGCATCAGCATACTGTACAATCCAAACACATGACGGAATCTGGTGGTTGCATCTCTGGTTTAGGTTGAAGTGGCATTTTTATTGTGAGTCTATTTTCAGACTTGCTGTATTTTCCAAAAGCAACCCCAAGCCCCCAAAACCCAACTCCTGGCCAGAAAGCATTCTGCCGCAGCAAGTTCCTCTCCAGAAAAGCGCTTTCTTCCCAGAAAACTCAGATAAACTCGTGTTATTACCTGAATCCTAGCAATATGATATGGTTCATATGGCCTTTGCTCTGTAACTTAATCGTCCATTCAGTTCTTTAAGAGTTTCTTCTTCATTAAAACACAAAATTCCCAAAATTACCCTCCTACCCCCACTGCCCCCCCAAAACACAAAAGAACAAAAAAAAACCCCCAGCGCACACAAAACCTTTTTCCTCCCATTCTCTTTCCCCTTTCAGCAGAGTCAGGCAATCCAGAGGTCAGAAATCCTATTCCTGTCCAAGTGCACATCTTTTCTAGGCACTGGCCAGGAAGGCACTTTAAAAGTGCCACCCACTCTCAGTTATCTGGTGTTGATAATCTCACTGTAAAATGTTTAAGGGAATTTTAACTTTCCAGTTCCTGGTAACGTCATTCACCGGGAAAAGTGATACAGATCTGTGCTGACGCTTCACTCTCCCAAATGTAGCCCCCACCCTGAGAGAAGACTTTAAAGCTTAATCACCGATCTGGGAAATACGAAGCGGAAGGAAGGGAGCAGCAGAGATTGGGTGTCTCCTGGTTGGAAGAGTTAACAGAAAAATAAAATCACTATGCCAGGCAGGTCTTCCACAGCGGGCTACATGGGTGTCATCGCCCGAAGCCGGCTGTGGCCGAAGGGCTTCCAGCAGGGAGAGAGGGCCTAAGGGCTCCAAGAGGAGGGAGCATGCTCGTGGGGAACCTTCTGGAAGGAGACAGGTCTTGCCCTATCCAGCGTTTCTTAGTCTCAGGCACTGTGACGTTTTTGGACCAGGCAAGTCTTTACAGCGGGAGACTGTCCTGTGCACTGTAGGATGTTTGACCACAACCACGGCCTCTCTGTATCGCTCCCCTCCATTCAAAAATGTTTCCGGAGGGGGAGGGTGTAGCTCAAGTGGTAGAGCGCATGCTTGGCAGGCACTAGGTCCGGGGTTCGATCCCCAGTACCGTCTCTAAAAATAAATAATAAACCTAATTACCTTCCCCCCACCAAAAAAAAAAAAGTGTTTCCAGACGTTGCCAAATGTCCTGGGATCAGAACCTCCGGATTGAGAACCCTTGGTCTAGCCTGACAAGGGAGCAGCAGGTTGCTGCAGTCAAAGCTCTGATGCCCACGTCAGGCACATCCTGCCCGAATCCCAGCTTTACCATCCTGGTTACCTGTGCTTCTTTATCTGAAGTTGGAGCTGGTTGCTGTACCTGCTTCAGGGCCACTGTGAGGATTAAATGAGCCGAGTCACCTGATGGTTTGAGCACAGACCCTCAGCTCTCAGTAGGTGCTCAATACCTGCTGGCTGTTACTAGATACGACTGCCAAGGGGGCAGGTGCCAGTCTGCACAAGATAGTCTTCTCCAGCTTCTACCCACGGTCCCCTCTGCTGGTTGGGGAGGGGACAGGCCTTCCTTTGGGAGGCAGGAAAGGCCCCACATGGTGGATGCAGGCCATGTGTGCCGGGGCATGTGCACTGGACCAGGAGTCAGGACACCAGGGTTTCAGTCCTGGCTCTGCCTCTCCCTCCCAGGCTGACTTTGGGCAAGGACTTTCTGACTCGAGCCTCAGTTTCTTCATCTGTGCAACAGAGATGTTTGTAAAAGTACCTTCTCCTCAAGGCCATTGTGAGGATCCTTGGAGATAAAGGAGGTTAAAACTGCACTGTCATACACAGAAGGATCAGACACAAAAAGGAGCTATGCATTAGCTACCATAAGCTAATGAAGACTGTGGCCTTGGGGATCGTTTCTTTCTGGTCACCTGGTTTTCTCCTTGGTCCAAGTATGTCTTAGCTCCTGGCGCCTTGCCCTCTGTGGGGCTGGGGGTCTGGTTCCCTGAGCGACCTTCTGCTCCCACGACTTGCCTCTGCCCACCTCCCTCTCAACCTGCAGACGTGTCTGCAGAATCCAGCCCAGCAGCCCAGTGTTGAGATGCTGATGGTGGGTGAGATGGACTGGTTCCCTCTAGACAAGTCATGAACAACTTTCTTTCCAGTCTCTTCTTCCCTAGGATGACTGGGCCTCAATGGCATGCCCCGTGTGAAGACCGGGGCCCCTAACGATATGTAACTGAGCCTGTTTCCTTCCTGGGTGGGCTGTGGTGTGCTACTCCCCTCCCCCATTCAGGCCCTCTCTGCCCCTTGCTCTAGGGACCGCCTCACCCACAACGACATCGTGGCCACCACCTACCTGAGTATGTCAAAAATCTCCGCCCCTGGAGGTGAAATAGAAGGTAAGTTCCCCTCTGTGCTGTCCCCTGTGGTCCCCCATGCTCTCCCCTGGCCAGCGAGGGGGATGGGCTTACAGTCATTTAGGACTGGTCCTCACCTCGGATGGTGGGATACACTGCTGAGGGGTGGAGCGAAGAGAATTCCTTCCTGTAGATGCTACTGGTGGCTGCGGCCACGCCATCCACTGGCTTCTACGTCAACTGGCTGTGCTCTAGCAGCTCCTATTTTGAAATCGCTTTCATTGATGTGTTAAAAAGTTCATGATCACTTGGTGCAATTTTAAAGAGACAATCTGAAAGAAGAATATAAAAATGTACTCATGAAATTATCCAGAAGCTTATCCTCCCAGACAAGAGATAAATATTGATTGTCTGGAACTTTCTGTTCTGTTCGTATGCATGTGTGTACATGAAAAACATTGTTTTGAAATAATTTTCAGTTGTTCCAGAAGTTGCTTTTTGTCACTTGGCAATACAACATAGATGTTTATTCATGTTATTAAATGGTCTTCTACAATATAATTTAAAATAAATACATATATTCTATTGTGAATGCACCATAACCACATTTAACCAGTTAATGCTGAATATTTTGGTGCTTTCTAGTTTTTTCAGTGTTATAAACAACTAACTTGAGAGTGAATATTTCTGTAGCCGAATCTTTATGTAATTCATGATTTTTCTTATGCATAAATACCTAGAAGTCAAATTGCTGTGTCAAAAGTTTGAACATTTTTAAAGCTTTTGGTATAGATATCAAAATTGCCCTACAAAAAGACTGGACCAATTTACACTCGAATTACTCACTTAATTTTGTTGTACCCTAATCAACTCAGGGTAGAATAATGATATTAAAAAAAGAGCTTTGTTAATTTGATGGGCAAATTTCACTGTTGTCTTAATTTTCATTTCATTGATATCTGGTAAAACTGACTGATGTAAATTTAAAAATATTTTAATAATTACCTTACATTTATAAATTATATCTATTTATTTACTTTTTATTTGTTCTATGGTAAATTGCCTATTCATGCTCTTGTCCATATTTCTGATGGTATGTTTGTCTTTTTCTCATTGTTTTTTAAGAGTTCTGTATGTATATGGCTGTTAACTTTCCCCTGTCATATATGTTGTAAATAGTTTTTGTCAATTTTATTTTATCCTGTAATAGTTTCAACATATAGAAATTTAAAAGTTTTACATAGCCAAATCTATTAGTCTTTTTCTTAGTGAATAAGGCAGGGGTCTAACATTACTTTTTTTCAAAATTGTTCTTTGGTGATACCAACACTATCTATTGAATAATCTTTTCCTTACATTTTGAAGTGCCACTTTTATCCTCTACTAAATTCCTAAATGTGTTCTTGGGCCTATTTCTTAATTTTTTGTATTATCTTTAATTGGTATGTCTGCTTATTATTTTTTAGGTTTTGGTATCTGGGTTATGCTGGCTCTGTAAAATTAATTGGAAAGATTTAAAGTCTTTTCTAACATCTGAAACAGTTTATATAACATAAGAATATAGTCTTTTGAGGGTTTGAAAGAATTCACCCATAAAACCATATGGGCTGAGTGCCCTTTTTTGAGTGGGTGTAGCACTGGCTCTTTAAAACCTTTCAGTTTCTCTTGTGATCATCAGTATTTTTAATTTGTTACTTTTGTTATAGCCAATTTTGATAATCTACATTTCCCTAGAAAAACATTCATGACATTGAGGTCTTCTGATTTATTTATATGGTGGTGTGCAGAGCAATCCTTTATAATTTAAATGATTTTTCTTTATTTGTGGTGTTTTCCCTTTCCTTATTTCTAATGATATGTGTTTGAATTTTCTTTTTTTCTTGATTAGCCTTATTAAAAGTTTTTTTTCCCACCCACTTTATTGGAATTTGCAGAGAATCAGCTTTTGGATTTATTTGTCAATTCTAGTATTTTCTAATTATTTATTCTCTCTCTTTTTCTTTTTCTTTTTCTTTTTTTTACTCTTTTCTAAAACTCTCTTTAGACTTATTATTTGTTTGTTTGTTTTCTTTTTTAACTTTATGGTTAACTTCTTGTGTTTATTTTCAACATTGCTTATTTAAATAATGGAAGTATGGTTTCTGCCCCATATCTCATGCTTTTGGCCTTTCAAAAACCCCAGAGTTACATTTAACTCTATTTTTTACTTTCATTTCTCACATTTATTTTAAATTTATTTCGGTGCATTTTCTGAGAGCAGTCTGATTTGATTCCTTTGCAGCAGTCTTTTTTTCCTGACTGGATGCCACTTGTAGGAATGTCTCTTTTTCCTTGCAGTTTGAAAAATTACTTTGATCTATCTAGATGCAGGACTCTTTTCATTGCATTTTGTCTAAGACAGTGAATTCTCAAATCTGGGTTGAGGAATGATTTTGTTTATTCTAACATTGTAACGTTATCAGCTGGAGGCAGGGTAGGGTGGGGGTAGTGGGTGCTCTGTAAACAGGCAGCTTGTGTGACTTGCTCCAGTCTGCTCTTATGAGTCCCAGCCTTGTAAGGTTGTTGTAAGGATCCAGTGAGATTATAAATGAAAAGTTCTGGTACATAATAAACCCTAAAGTACTGTTTGTTGTTGAGCATCATTCTTAATTTGCTTTCTGCTTTCCAAATCTGATTTTTGACCCTGTACCAATTCTGCTTTTTACTGCTTCCCACGTGGCTTAAAATTGTTGGCTTTTTTGTTTCTTGACACACCTTCTTTTCCCTCTGTCTTTCCTTTTATATTTTCCCTTTCCTCTTTGTTCTCTCCCTCAAGTTTTGTTTTGTTTCACAAAAGCTATGTCCCTTGTTACTCTATGGAGGATTCCAAATCATTCCCTGGGAATTTCAGGTGAATGCTCTCGGGAGTCTTACAGTGTTTCCTCCCTGTTTCCCCATCCTGGTTGGCCCTCTGTCATCCCCCTCCTCCTGTATTCACTCGCTCACAAGATCCCATCAGTGCTGGTGTCTTTCTACAGACAGGATGCCTGAGTGTCTGCCCATCCATCTCCTCAGATCTTTATCTGGAGGACAGGTGAGACTGCCCAGTTTCTGGAAGATTCCACTGAGCACTCTTGAAGTTAACCAATCTATTCTTCTCGGTTCTCTGAAACATTAAAAAACAATAACAACTTTTAATTATAGAAAATTCGAACACACATAAAAGTAAAGAATTCTACAATGAACTCCCGGGTGCCCGCACTCCGCTTAAACATCCCGCTGCTCTCTGCCCTTGCGATTTCATCGTTGAGACTTGTAATTGGTGGGATACCCAGAAACTCCCAAAAGGCACTGCTCTCAGGGCTCCGCCTGCCCCAGCCCCTCCCCCTCCTGACTGTGGGAACCGCTGGTCCCAGGATGCAGTCCTCCTTCTGTGATCGCTGTTCAGATAGTTGGACGTGCAGGTAGAAAGATTAGAGGTGGGGGGCAATGTCTCATGGGGGTGGGTGGGAGAGTGAGTACTCTAGGCCCTCCCGGACCAGAACTCCTGGCATGGAAGGAACCTCTTCTCCAGTTTTCTGGCCGGACGCCCTCCCCATCTAAGTCCGAGGACAGGCGCTGGTAGAGGCACAAAGTGACCTCACTATTTTCCGACAGCCGCTGTTTCATGAGGTTCCAGCTGTGCCTGCTGTCAGCCACCTGAGGGAAAGTTTAGATCCCTGTGCCCCCGTCCGTCTTCATTTCTAGTGCTGATGTTGGCCTTGGTCTTTTCCAGGGTCATCATTCATTGGGACTGGGAGGAAGATGTTTATTTGGCCACTAGATGGCGCTCAGGCCATGAGCAACCCAGAGTGGTTGAGGGAAGGCATTCAAAAGCGGCAACACCGGCTCTCACAGGTGGTTCTGGACATAAATGGGAATCTTCTCGGAACCAGCTAATTTTAGATGTGCAATTTAAATAGCTTGATTAATATAACAGTAAAAGATTAGACTCATTGCTCAACCTGGAGCCATTCTTCCTGACCCTCTCTCTAGACCCGGAAGGTGAGCCCTGCCAAGTTCTCCCTCTTGTCCTGGGGCCACCGCAGCATTACTCCAACTTTCAGCTCTTTGTATTTCCCTCCACGTTGGGATGTTCTAGCACATCTGGGCGATGTAGGACCTTTCATCTCCCCATTGCTCTCAAACCCCAAACTAAGCCGAACTGTAAAAATGAGTTCTTTCTCTGTATTTCCCGGCCTCATGGTTCACCAGATTATTTGCTCCAGCCAGGCGCTTTTGTTTTCGTGTTTTTATTTTTATTTCCAGCTAGGACAGGACTTAACACTAGCCTCTTAAGCACTTCTGCCCACAAGTTTGCCTGGGCACACTTGAGTATTCCTTGGACCCCGTGTGCCAAGCATTTAGTAAAAATTTTGTTTTTTAATGAGCAGCGCTTTCCTTAGAACCGGCTGTTCTTTCGAAAGGTAACAGGCATACGAGACCCATGAAACTTACACGGTTTCTTTTATAACTTCGTGCATATGAAAATCACGCTACAAAAATAGCACTCGGACAGTTTTTTCCACAGCTCCGAAATCCAAAGTTCGTTTCTTTTTGTCTTTGGAACGTGGATGATGAGGATTTCCCAGCAGTTCTTGGTTTCTCCTCCTGCCTGGCGCGGGCTGATGTCAGGCAGCCAAGCCGTGGGCGTGGGAGATGTGCTGAGAGGCAGAGGGAGCGGCAGGGCTGGCCGCAGGTAATGGCCTTGGCTTCTCTAGGAGACACGGAGTCCCGGTGACCAACCGTGACGTGCAGCTCACTGGCCTGGGCGGGCTGCCCTCAGTCTCCTCCGGCTTCCCCAGGTGAGGGAGTTGGGCTTGGCTGCTCCAGCCCCAGAGCTGGGAGCATCCATCCATGTTTGGGGGCTTCCACGGCTCCTCTTCCTTGGGCTTGGGGAAAACACACCAAAACACTTGTGTTTTGGCAGAAGAGTGATGGGGACTAACTAGAGGCTTTGTCTTGAGTGGTTTCACTGGTGACTCTGCCCTTGACTTCATGAGCTGTCTGCAGACACCAGGGGAGACCCGGAGACCTGTGACCCTGCCCCTAAATGAGGACTTGTTGGCCAGTTGACAGCAGGGCCGTGTCTCACTACGCCTTGCACTGTGCCTGTTAGGTTTGCTGAACAAACGAACGGATGAGTGAGGGGATGAATGAAAATGTGCGGTTGGGAGCCAGGCTCCTCTGCATCCCCTAACTTGGTCCTGCTGGCCAGCAGAGGCATGTGCTGGTCAGATGGCCGGTGGGATTAGCCCTGTGTCTGGGCCGGGCGCTAGTCTGCAGCCAGGACTCAGAGTTGGTCTGTGGGTGAGAAGCCAAGTTTGCTCTGCGAGAAGCACGTGGGGTCGGAGCTATGACCTCGGCCTCATTAGCCCTAGATAACTGGCCGGGCCTGTTTGTAATCATTTGGAAGGAGCTTAAAATGGCAACTGTTTCCTTCCGGTGGGCCCTGGCCATGCCCTCACGGGGCTGCAGCTGTGCTGTGTCGGTCTTCTTGTGGTTGTTGAAACTCCCCTATGACCAGAGGCTTCGCTCCCCTACTGATGAAAACCTATTCCTGTGGATATGAAAATGGCCATGAATTATGGTTTCTGCAGCTCTGGCTTCTGCCAGCCGGCGTTCCTAGCTGAGGCCGGCCGTGGAGAGCTGAGGGCCTGGGTCCGGGGGCCTCCAGCCCCCTTGGAGTCTGGTCTCACCCTCCTTGCGGCAGTCCGTGCTCACTGGGTCAGCCCTGTCCTCGTATCCAGAGTCCACGTTCCCTCTCCTCTCGTCTCCACGCTCTTTCTTTCTGTGTCTCTGCTCATTCTTCCTTCACGATGTTTTGCTCCACTCTTGGCTCTTAACTCCAACTGGGGAGCTATAGGAAATAGCAGTGGGTATTTTTATGTTTTTTTAAGGAGACCAATAGGTAAAGGTGACCAGTGAATGAAAATATTCATTTCACCAAACACATCCCCAGGCCAGTCAGGACCCCAGATTTGGTTACGCTAAGATGGTTGGAGGAGGAGACAGGGAGGGTCAGACACAAGGTCTTGTGGGAAGAGACAGAATCAGAGAGGATGGCGGAAGGAGACTGAGGGGTGTTGACTCCTTTGGGGGCATCTTGTACCTGCCTGGATGTGAGGGACGGATTCCAGGATGCTGAAAGTACGCTAGACCATCTCCTCCCTTGCTTCTCTTATTTCTAGACACCCCTTAGCAGCATTTAGGGTACACTCAAGTATAGAAATTTCACCTAATGAGCTGTGTCTGGCACTGTGCTTCATTTGAAACAACAGGTGCCAGAAGCCAGACCCCAGTGCCTGCTGTTGTGAAAATGCAACATGGGGCCCTCAGTGGTAATGCTGGAAATGACCACGAGGTGGAGATCTTGTGCCTTGAAATGCCAACTCCGAGCGAGGCATCAACCTGCCTGTAGGGTGGGGTGCTGGGTGTGTCTCACTGCCCAGCTCTGGCCCTTCCACGTTTCCCCCACCCTGTCTTTGTGTCTGTACTTTGTTTTCCTCACTTACCTGGCTATGATATGGAAAAGCACATTTTCTTTTCTGTGTTATTTCTTGGACGTGTTGAGTCAAGCGTCTGGTCCAGTTTTCCACCAGCAAGCAGAGCACACAGCCATGCAGGCAGCCACTGGCAAGGACCCGAGTGCTCGCGATGGCACTGGGGCTGAGTCTGGCTGAGGGGCGCGTGGTGATGCCTTAGTGTGTGATACGTTCACAGCTGGGCTGGGGCTGGGGCCTTGGGCCATATCTGTTTCCCTGTCCAGGAGCTGTCTTTCCATCTGTCTATCTGTCTATCAACTGTCCATCCGCACGCCCTGTTCACCTAACCAGTCCTCCACTCAGCCTTGCCCATCCTAACCCCTTTTCCATTTCTTTATGCTACAGAGGAGCCTGCAAGTGTGGTCAAGCCTCCTCCAGCCTCAGACCGTACGTGCCTTCACCTCCAGGATGCCGAGGGGGTGGGCTGTGAGGTTTTTGCTGGAGCGGAAAGGGTGCTGGTTGTGGGGAAGTTTTTGATTTGTCTGAGGTGGAACTGAGATTACCCACCTCAGCCCCAGAGCTTACTTTTGGCCATTACCTCGCAACCTCAGTTGAATATGTAAATTGCTTGGAATGCTTTAAAGACGATTCCCTCCCACCCTGTAAACCCGCTTCCTGAATCTGCTGAGCTCTGATGCTCCAGGGAGTTCACTGTCTCCAGCAGGGAGTGGGTGGAACTGGCGTGGGGGTCCATGATGAGGCCGGGCCAGTGTAAGGGCTCTCGGGGACCAGGAGGAGGCCAGGGTGTGTTGCAGACTCTTGAAGTTCAAATTCACAAGGTAAATTACAATCGCGATGATGAGTATAGATAATTGGTAGTGCTCACATCAGTTCCATCCGCCTGGGCCTCCCACCCCAGTCCCACATGCCCGAGCCCTGCATGTGCCAGGGGCTGGAGGGCGAGGGACGATGGGTGCAGGGCTCTAGGGGAGGCATGCTCCTGCCTTCCGGTTGGTAAGATCTTACCCCCGGGGATGGCTTCCAGTCCCAGGGCCTCGGCACTCAAGAGTCTGCATTCAGTCCTTGGGTCTGGCTCAAGTACTTCCTTGCTAAGGCCATTTATTTTGTGCCATCCTCGCCTCACCCGTGTTCTTATGGATTGGAGCATCCCTGATGGCTCCTGCTCCTGGGCCCACCTCCCACCTTTGGCATTCTGGAAACGCCCCTTCCTCCTTCCTCTAAAAGGGACACCCTGGTTCTCAGGATTCTCAGAGTGTGGCCGGTGACGTCCCGTCCCAGGAAGCTTGGTTGTCAACTGGAAAATCATGACATTAACAAAAGCGGGCCTCCAAAAAGGATGGAGATGATGTGGAGAAGAGATTTTCTCTCATCGTTAGTGTGATTCTCAAACTCTTCTCCAAGCTGCTCCACTGAAAGATGGTTCTTTGTACAGTGTGGGCGGGGGGTGGGGGTGGGGGTGAGGAAGGCGATGCCAGGGTGAGTGCAGGCTATTAGGCGTTCTGTCTCAACTTTGTAAGGGTACAGGGGTGGAGAAGACATGTACCCGGGGGCTGCCCTGTGTGTGGGGTGACATTGAGCTGGGGCCCATCCCTGGTGTTTGGGAGATGGCGTCTCTGGTCACCAGGCCCTTGGGTCTCCTTTGTGCCACTCCCCAGGCGGGAAGTACAGATGAGGATGGGGTGCAGGACACCGGGCGGCCTGAGAGGGGCAGGGCAGTGGGGGTCCCTGAGCCCCAGCTTTGCGTGCTGGCTGAACGCGTGCGCTAAGGGTTAGACCATTTTGGGTCAGGTCTCTGTGTAGTCGTGTGTTCCCTTGCATCTCGGCCTCAGTTCCCTCCTCTGCGAAACGAGGCTGGTAGAAGCAGTGCACATGTCCGTATCTCAGGGTGGTGGTGAGGGTTAGAGGGAGACAGTGGTAGCTCTCATCGGGGGCTGCGCCCAGTGCATGTGCGAGGAACTGAGGGCTGGCGATGGGCTCTGGCTTGAAGGTGTCTGAGTTGAGTGCTAGAAGGCCCCTGCTGGGCCGGCCCCTCTGATCCGCACTTGTGTTTCCCAGTGGACGACCACCTGGGCTTCCTCCCCACCTTCGGGCCCTGCTACGTCAACCTCTACGGGAGCCCCAGGGAGTTCACTGGCTTCCCGGACCCCTATGCGGAGCTCAACACGGGCAAGGTGAGCCGGACCGGAACCCGTAGTCCCGATCCCCAGGCCTGCGTGCGGGGTCTTCCAGCCTGGGCTGGGCAGTATCTGCGGCCGGCCTGGACTCCAGGGACCTGATGGGGCTTGAGTGGGCCCAGGGCCACCCGCTCCTTCCACCTGGCCCCTCCTGGCCCCTTCTTCCCTCCCTTCTGCCACTCCTTCAGGGCCAGCCTGACACCTGCCCCCCTTCTCCCGTTTTCCCGGCACCTGAGGGACCCAGGCTCTATCAGGTTTTATTCTCCCCCTGGTGAGACTGGACTCTGCTACTGACCACCTGGGTGGCGTGTCCCCTGAATGCTCTGGGCCACCATTTCCTCATCTGCAGAGTGATGGGGTGTGGCTCAGGGCGCTCCTGGGTTGCCTGGGAGATGAATGGCCTCAGGGCCAGATCAGGCTCCTTTCCTTCCCCTCCTCCCCTCCACCACCCCTGCTCCTGGTGACCCAGCCTCCCCTCTCAGGGGGAAGGCGTCGCCTACCGAGGCCGGCTTCTGCTCTCCCTGGAGACCAAGCTGGTAGAGCACAGCGAGCAGAAGGTGGAGGACCTCCCGGCCGATGACATCCTTCGGGTGGAGGTGAGGGGCGTGGCTCTGGGAGGGGCGAGGAGGGTGGTGGCCAAATGGGGCTGGCTTCAAGGTGCCCTGGCGGAGAAAGGAGGGCTCAGCTTGGCCCGCTCTCCTGTGTCTCCACACCTCTGGGCCTCAGAGTAACGCAGCACCTGCCCTGCCTCCGTAAGCAGTGCTCAGGGGCACAAAAAAGATAAAGGAAAGTATTTTAAAGTCTAGAGCTTGGTGCAAAATGAGAGGGCCTTTTATAATAATAACGTAAGGAGAGCGAACACTTACTATCCCCGACCCGGTGTCAGACACTGTGCTCGCGACACTGTTGATGTCACTGAGTCCTCCCAGCACCCGTGAGGTGGCTGCTATCAGTATCTCGATTTTACAGATGAGAAAACTGAGGCTTAAGTGTATCAGAGCAGCAAGTGGTGAAGCTGGGCGTGGCATCCAGGAGGCAGCTGTGTGGAGTCTGCCTGGTGGTTTAAGCTTTCAGATAATCAGATGGTACTGGTTTGCGTTCTGGCTTGACCACTGACCAGTTGTGTCATTTTCTCTGTGTGTAACGTGGGGGTAATAGTTACACTCACCTCACAAGATTGTTGGGAGAATTAAATTAATTCATGCCTGTATTCAGTCAGCACTCGGTACGTGATGACTATGTCCGTGATCTAACGACCCAGCTGTGTAAACCCTCTTCTCTCTGCCTCTACAAAGGGGATCGTAGTGCCATCTTGGTTCAGACTGGGACGTGTAGTTGAGTTCCTGCCGCGTCCTCAGCCCCGTGCCCCATGTCTGGTGGGGCAGTGGGATTCGTTCATCTCAAACACACGACAGCCTGTGGATGCTCAGAGCTGGCTGTTGTGGAGAAATGGAGCGGTGTGGGCTGGGCGCTCTGGGCAGGGGCATGGGGGGTTAGAGGCTTCGGCCCCTTTTGGACAGCAGACGTGGGAGACCGGCTCCCTGGGGTAGTGGTGCCATGGCCGCTTGTCTGGGCATGATCTTGGAGGAGCCAGCCTTCGTAGAGGAACATGGCCAGGCACCCAGGCCTGGGATGAGTTTGCTCCAACTTAACCAAATCTGGGCCCTGCTGCTGAGCTGGACCACTCGCCACGCATCCATCCAGCCAGGATCCATCGGGTGCCAGGGCCTGCCTGGGGGCACCTCCCCACAAGGGTGTGTTCTTCCTTCCCCCCGACCCCGGCCCTCCCTGCTCCCAGAAGTACCTCCGAAGGCGCAAGTACTCCCTCTTCGCCGCCTTCTACTCGGCCACCATGCTGCAGGATGTTGACGACGCCGTCCAGTTCGAGGTCAGCATCGGGAACTACGGGAACAAGTTCGACACGACCTGCCTGCCGCTGGCCTCTACCACCCAGTACAGCCGGGCGGTCTTTGACGGTGAGGCCAGAGGCTGTGCTCCTGGCTGGGACCCTGACCACAGAGCGGGGGCCGAGCCCTACATCCTGTCCCCTGCTGGAGGCTTGCCCGACGGCCCTGGCCTGGGCACACCTGTTTGGGGGACCCCCTGGTCTGCTCCCCGCTGTGCTGCATCTCTCTGCTCACCTCCAGATGGGTCTCTGTTGCTGGGACCCACAGATTGAGTTGGCAATGGTCAGCGTTGGTCCTGACCTGTCCCAATCATTCATTATCTGGCGGCTGTGGGACTTGGTGTGGAGATTCTGGAGAATGTGGGATTCCCAGGGTCCTAGCCACCCCTCGGTTTTAAGGTGCTAAGGGGCCCTAGTGAGAGTGGCAGCTCTCTGTTCAACGCATGAAGGGAGCTCCAGCACCTTGTCTGGGCACTGGGGAGCACTGGCCATGCCACGTGTGTCCACGGGAGTTCTCAGTGGGGGAGCAGGTGCCTGCCTCCATCCTGCTCGGTCCCCGCCGCCCCTCCGCTCCGCTCAGCACCAGGCCCGTGCGTCCTTCCAGGGTGCCACTACTACTACTTGCCCTGGGGCAACGTGAAACCCGTGGTGGTGCTGTCATCCTACTGGGAGGACATCAGCCACAGAGTCGAGGCTCAGAACCAGCTGCTCAGGATTGCCGACCGGCTGGTGAGTGGAAGCGGGCCCCACCCAGCGCCCTGCGCACGCACGTCTGATGGGTTTCCTCAGACCTGCCCCCGTGGGGGCTTAGCCTGCAGACCTCACGGTGCCTGGAGTCCCCTGCGTCCTGACCGGGCCAGGCTTGCGATCCTGCCCTGCATCCTGGGAAGAGAGGAGAGGGAGGGAGCACAGTCCTGGGGGGACGCCCCCAGTCTGATGTGGGAGAAGCACAGAGAAAGGGCCAGGAGAAAGCACATGGCGATCAGCAGGACCGAGCCTGCAGCCGTTCGTTCATTCATCAAATGCCTTTGACTCTTCCCACAAGCAAGGGTTGTGCTGGAAACTTCTAGCTAGAGGGTAGACGTGAACAAGGAGCTGCCCCTGCCTTCAGGGGTCAGTTGAGTAAAGGAGAGTGCTGGCTCCTGTGGAGGCTCCAAACTTCAGTTCAGGTGACACTTCAGGAGTACTTAGGGAGGGGGGCTCAGAGGAGGGAGGGGCCGGGGAGCATCAGGTCGGCCTCGCAGGGCAGTGAGGGGCTCGCATCCAGGGAGGGGAGCTGGGCGCGGGTTAGGATGCTGTTGTAGGGGTCCAGGGGGGTGTGGCGTGGCTCTGGGAGGGCGCTGACCTCAGGGGGAAGACTAGAGGATTGAGAGCTAAGGACTTGGTGGCCTGTTGGGTTGGGGAGGAGGAAGGGCTGTGAGCAGGGCCTCCGGTGGCTGGGGAACTGGGAAACTGGGGAGAGGAGCAGGGGCCCCGAGGTCAGGTGATGAGTCCTGATGAGGATGTGACCCGGGTTTCTGGTGGAGGCTGGGAGTTGCAGGCCTGGCGCTTGGCCAGAGACCAGAGGAGAATCAAAGTGGGCAGAGATGCGGAGGCCAAGGGCAGGCCGCTGATGATCCTGGCAGTGGCCCCTGGCTGTTTCTGTGAGGCTCGGGGTGGAGGCGCGCCCATGAGATGCGTGGTCCCTGGAAGCATGGGGGAGGCAGGTGTGGCCGTGCTGTCGGGGGCGCGTGTGGGGCAGCAGGGTGGTGGGAGGGGGGTTGGAGAGGCTTGGGCGTGTCTGTGGTGGTGGTGAGGAGGTGAGCACAGCGAGGCGGGAGAGTGGGAAGGGAAAGGGGGGACGGGAATGTTAGAGTGGCTGGGAGGGGAATGCCGGGCCGAGTGGGGGCTGTGGAAGCCCGTGCCTTCCCCAAGACCGGCAGCTGCCTGGGAGGGAGGGGAATGGCCAACACCCAGGTTTGGGAGAACTTGAGGTTGATGCTGTGCAAATGCAGCATCTTCTGGACCAGCCGTTCTCTCCCAAGCTGTTCCCTGAGGGCAGGGGCTGGGCGTTCTTTCCAGGGCCTGTCTGCCTCCAGCTTGGGGGCCCCAGGGTGGAGCACACGGCTCGCAATTGGGAATGCCGAGGTGGGGAGAAGAGAGGGGGGACTGAGGGGCAAGTCCTTGGCCTGAGGGCTGTTCTGTGAGATATCTCGTCCCCCTGCTCAGGCCTGAGGCCCATGGAGGCGAGTTCCAGAGAACAAACCAGAGAAAACTGGGGAACCACATGGCCCTAGGAGTTTAGAGAGGGACCACCCTGATATCACAGGTCGTCTGAACTCCTGAGGGAAGGAGGCTGTGATCCAAGCCTGCTTGGGTGGTAGGGCTGGAAAGGAAAGCGCCTGGGGTGGGGGAGCTCCGAGGTCACTTACCTGTGAGACGTCAGACCTGGCTTGACGGGGGCTGGCGGAGCGTGGAATGCAATGGAGTTCTCTCGCAGCCTGCACACGCGAGGGGTGGGAGTTCCAGGCTTGGGAATTTGGGTCTGCTTGGTGTGGGGCGCTCTGGACAGACGCTGGTTTGGGGGCTCTGGCCTCTGCCTTCTTTGCTCTAATTGTTCTCTCCTTTTTGGTTCAGGGACTGGGCTGTGGTGACAGGGCCTGGGGGTTGGGGGTCCGCTCCGCGGTGACCCGACCGCTGCCTGCCTGTTCCACAGGAAGCCGGCCTGGAGCAAGTCCACTTGGCCCTGAAGGCACAGTGCTCCAGCGAGGACGTGGACTCCCTGGTGGCTCAGCTGATGGATGAGCTCATCGCAGACTGCAGGTAGGGGGTGCCTGGCACCCGCGCGCCCTCCCCTCCTGGCTCAGCCGGGCCCTTTCCCTGGGAGTGTTCGTGTGTGGCAGTGAGCGACGGCACGTCTCCCCAGCCACGCTTGGCCAGCAGTCCAGCCCGTGCTGAGTCCAAAGGTGGTGGAGCCAGCGCGGGGAGTTGAAAAGGTGACATTTAGAGCAGGTCATAAATCTCCCTGCAGCGCGGCAGCTGCGGGCCTGGGGCGGCCCGGCTCACCTGAATGGGGAGCATTGTGTCTCTGATCCCCGACCTCTTATTTCCCTGATGGAATCTCCAGGAGGAGCTGGCTGGTGGGGGTGATGGCGCCCCTCCTTCCCCCAAAGCCATGTCGGGGAGCACAGTTTCTGTTTAGCCTTCTCTTGGCACGGCTGATTGTCAACTTCAGGAAAAGGGGGGCCCTCGGGGTGAAGGAGGACAGGGGAACTGGGGCCCCGGCGGAAGGGGGAGCATCTCAACATCTCCATGGCTGGGTGACCCGGCGCTCCCCACCCACCTGCTCAGAACCTTGGTTTCCTCATCTTCAACCTGATGGCAGGAGTAGCTGCTTCATAATATCACACAAGCAAACTGCCTGGCCCTCAGGAAGTAGCTGTAATTATTATTAAGGAGAAGAAATGTCAGAAGACTTTGATTGTCATCCCGTTAACTAGCTTTGTGGCTTTGGGCAGCTTCACTTCTCTGGATCTCAGTTTTTCCTGCTGTTAAATGGATTTCATAATAAATAGCAGTCTTTCTACTCTTCTAGGATTAAATGTGAATATATGCAGGTGTATTCTATGCCCCACTCTAAATCTTATCACCCTAGCCTCTATCGAATGTATGAGAAATGCCTTCATGCTGTGAATGAGAGACCGTGGCTGCCTGCGGCCGTGCCCCTCCTGGTCTTCTGCACCCGAGCCGGGAAGTGCATCTTTATCTGAAATGCCCCTGCCCCCAAGACAGTAATTCACTCCTTCTCCAAACCTCCCTGAGGCCTGGTAGCCTTGTGCCAGGCGCCCAAATCATGTTGAGAAGGGTGCAGCCTCAGCCCTCCCTGGGGTAACACTGCAGAAGCGAGCAAATGAAGGAGAAAGCAAGTTGGGGGCTCGAGGCAGGTGCCCTGGGAGCTCAGAGCAGGAGGGGCTTAAGCAAATCTAATTCAGGGAAGCTTCCTGGAGGAGGGGATGCCCCATGTGAACTCTGGAGGAGGAGGAGTCAGCCTTTGGAGAGGGGACTGCCAGGCAAAGGCACAGAAGCCTGCAAAGCCTGCTGCCTCTGGGGCAGCTGAAGCCCAGCTGAGATAGGCCTTCGGGATTCACGTGGGCAAGCTCAGCCCCGGGGGGCATTGGGAGCACAGGGACCCCCGGGGGTGCAGATGCTCACTCTGGCTGCAGAGCAAGGGCCGGGCCAGGCATGGTGGTGAGTGGAGACTGGACAAGGGCATGGCCCGAGGCACGGGGAGGGGGCGAGAGAAGCAGAGGGCGGCCTGGACCACTGGGGAGGCATCATGGTGGGAACGGCCTCACAAGGAGCACTTTCTGCTCCAGGTGCTGTGCTGAGAATTTCGTGTGTATTAACTAATCATAAAAATCTTAGGAGGTAAGTAGGGGAATGATGTACATTTTGTAGACGAGGAAACTGAGGCAGGGAGAGGTTAACTGCCCAGATTCACGCGCCTTGTAAGTGGCTGAACCCCTCGCTCTGCCGCTCCGTCCTGGACAGGATGTGATGCTGGCGGGTGTGGGGCCCAAGGAAGTCCCAGAATCGATCCCCTGGCTCTGGCCAGAGCAGCGGGTGGGCGGCAGCACAGTTTCTGGAGGGCTCAGCAGGAGGAGAGCAGGCTTGTGGGAGGAGGAGGAGTTCACGGCTGGGGGAGCTGCCTGTGGGCATCTGCGGTCTGAAGGTCGGAGGTCAGAGGGAGGCTAGAGGGGCACACGGGGGCACTGTCAGCAGTGGGGGGAGGGGTGCTGCAGAGTGACTGACTGTGCCCCGCTGCCTGCCCGACAGCCTCCGGTGTGGAGGGCGGGCCGGGGCTCTGGATTCACCCGCTCTGCTCATGACCCCTGCGTGGTATGGACCTTGGCAGGACGGAGGTGCTTGAAACATCTGAGATGGGTGGGTCCCAAGTCCTGGGCTGCTGCTGTGTTCCCAAGAAGGGCTTCATTCTTGGAGGACTCGACCAAAATGCTTCTGCCAAAGACTGGTCCCCTTGAGTCATCCTCCTGGGGGTAGACCATGGCCGGGGCCTCCTGGGAAGCCCTGGTCCCGGGTCAGGGTCTTGTGAGGAGGGTCCCATCCTCTTGGGAATGCACCGCCAGGCTTCAGGACCAGTTCCTTCAGGCACCACCCAAGGCCACCAATAGCCCTGGGGCCACAACACGGGCATCCAGGTGCGGGGACCCTGAGCTAGCTCTCTATAGCTGACCACCAGCAGCTCCCGCATTCCTCCAGCCAGCCCCTGCCCACAGCTCCAACATCAGTGTCCTTCATTCTGTCTGACCCTCTCCTGCCTCATCTCCCTGGGAGCCCTTAACCAGTGGTGCCCACTCTGTTCTTCCAGCCCAGCCCTTAACTCTCGTGTTTCAACCTGTGGGCCCAACTGCCAGCAGCACACCTCCACCAGCACGTCCAACTCATTCTCTGTGATCTTCCTAACACTACTGTGCCGACTCCGCTTGAGCCCTGCCACGGCTCCTGTTGCTTTTAGGAAAAGTCGCAGCTCTTGTCCTGGTGGATGGGCCTCTGTCCCCACTCCCTGCCTCCTGGACCCCAGCAGGCTTACCTTCCGGCCCCTCGGAACCTCTGGGCCGGCTCAGCGCCCTGCACGTGCCCCCACCTGCTTCTGAGGCATTGTACACATGCCACCCCTTTGGCCAGGGCGCCCTTCCTGCTCTTCTTGGCCTAACCAGCTCTGCCAGTGTGGCTTGAGGCCACTTCCTCCAGGAAGTAGCCCTGACCCTGAGGCTGCTCAGAGGAGATCTGTCTAGCTTGCCTGTCTCTTCCAGGGGCTCCCCAAGGGCAGGGCTGTGTCTTATCTCTGGACCCAGCCCCCAGCCAGGCCCAGCAGAGCTGATGCTCACAAGGAGTGAAATGAATGACCCAGCGGCCAGTTACCTTCTGGGCTGGACATGGCCCCTCCCCACTGCTGTCCCTGATAAAGGCATCCACTCATCATAGGAGCAGGCAGCGACTTTGTGCCTGTGCTGAGCCCTGCCCTGGGCCCACCTGCCATTTCCAAGTCAGCCAGGTGGCAGGGCCACGGCTCCTGTTCGGGCGTACACTGTCATCCAGCTTCCTCCTCTGGGTCTCCTTTCCTTTCTGTGCCCCCTGTTCTGTGCTTCTAAGGCGTGGGAAAGGGCCAAGACATTTTGTTAGTGGTAGTTACGGGTCCCGGCTTTTTCTTGGGGAGTCTTGGCTGGGCTGGTGGCCTCCATGAAAATCTCCCTTTGGTGGTCTGTGTGGCAGTCCCTCCCAGCTCCCGACCCAGGCTGGGAGCGTAAATCACCCCGGTTGGCTTGCCTCTCCACATCCTTCTCCAGACCCGCCGGCCCCCACCCTCAGGCCCACTCAGGCCTCCTTCCCAGGCAGGCCCAGCCCAGGACTCTGGCCCAGGCCCCCCTTTACCCACCGAGCTTGCCCCTCCGCCGCGTTCGAGTGGGTCGGGGCTGGAGGCCGCCCCTCTCCTGGCCTGGGGCAGCCCCATCCGAGGCACCCTCGGGGCAGTAAATATTATATTACCACAGGGTGTGCAGTACGTGACCTGAGACAGGCCCTGGGGCTTAAGTTTCCTGAGATGGAGTTTGCGTACTGCTCCCCCCACCCTAAAAATTCAATTAAAAAAAATAACAGGAAAAATGTAGTGCGCCGAGGGCCTGCCAGAGTGGTGTATCTGGCGGCGGCGGTGCCGCTGCGCCCGGCGGTAATTGGTTCTGCATAGCTCCGGGAAATTGGCAGAAAAATAAATCAGCCGGGAGCCGGGAGTCGAGACACCGCGGGGAGGGGAGCGTGAGGTGGGGGGGCGGCTGCAAGTGCTGGGAGCAGAACTGGCGAGCGGGTTTGACTGATGTCCTGGTTGGGAGTCAAGGGCTCAGTGGGGGTGGGGTGGGGGTGGGGCAGCCCCCCACACCCTCCAGTGGGGGTAAGCTGGAGGGGTCCTGCTTGGTGAGGAAGAGCACAGACATCCCCATCCAGCCCGTCCCGTCCTGTACGATGCTTGTGTGTGTGCTGACTGACCCCGGTCTCTCTGGGGCTTGGTACGCCCAGCAAGAGCCACGTGGAGGATTTTTAGGGAGCCCAGCCTTTGGAGAGGATGGGAGGGGGTCAGAGTTCTTTGCCTCCAAATAGGATTGAGTTTAAACCCAACCCCCCACTTAGGGGCCTAGGGCTGTGTTTCTGGGACAGTGTGTACCCCCCATCTCCTCTCCAAAGGCTTCTCAAGGCAGAGGGTTCTGGGAGGGCTGTTGTGGGGCCGCACTGGGTCGACACATGTGTATTGCTGGCTGCCGGCCTCCCCACAGCGTCTGCAGTGGCTTGTCAGGGGTCCATAAATTTCCTTCTTGAAGAAAGTGTGCTTACAACAGAATGGATTCGTTTCAGCCGAGGGCAGCTTAGTGCATCGGCCTCTACTCTATGACGAGGATGTGGGGTCACTGGGCCTCTGGGAGCTTGCAGTCAGTCGGGCAGAGGGGACACACATGCGAAAGAACTCACCCAAGTGGAGGCTTAGCATAAGTTCTAGTCAGGCAGCCTCAGAACAAAGGGCTGGGGGACTTCAGAGCGAGAGGCACACTGGGCAGTGTGATTGGGGAAGGCTTCCTGGAAGAGGTGGCTGTGCCTCTCATCAGGCTGGAGAAGTCACCCAGGGCACACGGAGCACCCAGCAGGTAGGCTGAGGGGGTGAGGCCTGTTGTGGGGCCCTGTGCACTGTGTATAAATGCATGTGTGTGCCTGGACCTGGGAAAGTTCACATGCCGTCTCTCTGTCACAGCCAGCCCCTGGGCAATGTCCAAGAGATGCCCTCCGCCACCCACCTGGACCAGTACTTGTACCAGCTGCGCACCCGTCACCTGAGCCAGATCACCGAGGCAGCTCAGGCCCTGAAGCTTGGCCACAGTGAGCTCACCACCACCCTGGAGCAGGCTGAGGACTGGCTCCTGCGTCTGCGTGCCCTGGCAGATGAGGTAGCTAACCCTGGCAGATGAGGCGCCTTCCTTCCTGCCAGGAGCATCAGAACTGGGAGGGACATGGGGACTGTCTGGACCATGATGTTATGCTGGCTCCATTGCTGGGTGACCTTGGGCAGGTGACTTAACCTCTCTGAGCCTCCATGTCCCCATTCACCAAAGGAGAACAGAGGATACAATGGGATACTGGGTATTGTGGGTCCCAGCACAGAGCCTGGCATGTAGTAGGTGCTCGATAAATGCCCCCAAATGTGCTCAAGAAATGTGCTTAATAAACGCTGCCAAAGTATGTCAGAGACAGAGCTGGGACCAGGATGCAGGGCGCCTGGCTCCAGGTCCAGTGCCAGGGCCTGCTTCCCCAGGGACCCGACTTCTTCTCCCCACCGACCTGTCTGCCGTTGGCCTCAAACCTGCCTCTCCCGGGGCCACGTGCTTCCTGCCCTCCTGGATGCCCCTCAGCACCAGGCCTCAGGAGGCTGCACCTGCAGTCACTCTGCACCTGTATGTACCCCCATCCCTGCCCCTTGGGGCAGATGCCCCCATCCAGTTCCCCAGGGCAATAGGCAGGCCGCAGACTTGTCCAGAATGAGGAGAAAGGTCTGCTCGTATGTCACAGGCAGACACAACTGCTGTCCACTCTGGTCAGAGCCACGTGGGACCCCTGGGGAGGGGACGGGGGAGATGGTGAGGAAGGATCTCTCCAGAAGGAGTGTGCAGAGAAGGGCAGGGCCTGAGAGGGGCTTCTGGAGGAGCGACTTGTTGAAGGGGAGAGTGAAGTCCAGGAGGTGGAAGGAGTGCTCAGGAGGGGAAGGCAGCCCGAAATGTTGGTCCCTGAGAGTCAGCTCTGGGCTCATCCCTGAGCAGGGCCTCGGGTCTGTGGCCAGTTACCTGTGGGGACACTGTGTTGTTCAGCCCCAGGCTGACCCCCCAAAGGGGCTGTGGACCATCCCCTCGGGTGGATCACAGGCTTCCCTCTTTATCCTGGCCCAGACCCTGGAACCCTCAGCACAGGTTGTGTCGTGGCTGGGAGGGGTTAAGGTGAGACAAGCGCTGTGGACAATGAGGGAAACTGAGGAGCATTTCTCAAATTTGAGTGTACATCAGAATCCCCTGAAGGTTTTGTTAAAACAGGGTACAAGGCCCATCTGATCCTGTATCTCTGGGGTAGGGCCTGAGAATCTGCATTTCCAGCAGGTTTCCAGGTGTTGCTGCTGCTGCTCTGGGGACCGCACTTGGAGAGCCCTTGGTATCGGGGTTAGGAACGCATATTTAGAATCAGAAACCTTTCTCCATAACTTCTTTGAGCCTGAATTTCCTTGTCTGTGCCAGCCTCCCAGGCGGGCTTGTCACAGCGATGAAGCGACTCTCCTGGGAGACGCTGAGGGAGGGGGAGGGTGCCAGCAGTCAGCTCTCAGCAGGAGCCCTGCTCAGAGACCCAGGCCCGCCCCACACTGCTCAGCTGCCTTGGGAGCAGATGGACTTAACCAACCAGCCATCTCTCCCGAGTGAGGCAGCTGGGAGCAGTTCTTAGGCCTGGAGGCTCCAAGGGGCTCAAGGCCCTGCAGTTTTGTTCTGTGCTGGTCACCATTTTTAGAACCCAGTGTCACCAGGCCCAGAAAAAAGCCAGGCTTCAAGGGTTTCTGCTGTTGGGGGGTGGTTGTCCCCTGGGAGGGCGCACACCGTCTGTGGATTCACTGCTGCTCCCAGAAGTGAGGAAGGGGGGGTGGCATCTTGAATGTGATGTCATCTCTGGGGTCAAATGAAATCCTCCGATGTCTACCCCCAGGGAGCATCTGTCTGCCCACCAGGGGAGGGGATCTAAGAACCCAAGCTCAGGGCTTCAGGCAGGAGTGTCTCTTCCCAGAAAATGAGAACGCAGCTCAGTGAATTCTTGGCGGGCTCCTTGTGTGAGCCGGGGGCAGCCTGGTGCCCTGTCCTCGGGGGGCTCATAGCCACTGACAACAGAGGTGCCCAGCCAGCCCTGGGAGGTCAAGGGGGCGGCTGGGGGTGGGCAGCACAAAGGGTGGGAACTGGGAGGAGAGGCCTGGGGAGACAAGCTCACGGTGGGCTGAAGATGGGGGCTTGGGTGGCCCTGTCCCTACCCTGACTGCCGTCTTCTCTCCAGCCCCAGAACAGCCTGCCTGACATCGTCATTTGGATGCTGCAGGGAGACAAGCGAGTGGCGTACCAGCGGGTGCCCGCCCACGAGGTCCTGTTCTCCCGCCGGGGCGCCAGCCACTGCGGCAAGAATTGTGGAAAGCTGCAGACGATATTTCTGAAAGTGGGTTCTTCTCAAGTCATGCGCATGCCTTCTCATCCCCAGCGCTGTGCGCTCCCCTTCTGTTTCCCCTCCTGTTCTCTGTCAGACTCAGCGTTTTTAGGCTCTGGTCTCAGAAGAAACTGAGGGCTTTGCATAGAATGACTTCCCTTGTCCTCTCTCCCCCACCAAGTCCTAGATCCCAAGTGCCTAGTCTAGAAAGCGAGCAGGTGAGAGCTGGAATTGGGGGGCGCTGGGAAGGAATGACGGGCTGAGGCTCCAGGCTGTGCTCCTCTCCAGCCAGGTCCCTCCCTGGTGGGGGCCTAAGCCCCTACTCCCTGCCTTCAAGAGCCCTTACACAGACCTGCCTCCACCCTCCAGTGGGGTTCGACTCCAGCTGGAGTCACGCTGGGGCTCAAGTTCCTCCCTGTAGAAGGCTCTTGTCTGGCTCTCCCGTTGGAGAACTGGGGCCAAGTAATCCTGTCCCCCCATCACCCTGCGCCCACCTCTCCTGCCCTTTCTCCTCTAGTACCCATCCTTGCTCCCCCTCCATCTTCTCTCAGCCTTGGGGGCTGCTGGTGGGGAAGTGAGCAGTTTCCCAGAGACCCTCTGTCCTCCTCTCTGGGTTAACGTGGGGACGTGGAGCCCAGGCTGCTGGGTGGGGGTACTGCAGCCTGCTGCTTGGGACACAGTTCGGGGAAATCCCTCCCTGAGCTGTGGCTGCCCCAGCCCAGGGAGGGTCCTGTTTGGAGGGCTGTCACTGAGGCTGCTCTGCTAGAGGAGGAGTGGCTGGGGCAGCAGGCCTGCCCCTCACCATGTACGACTGACTCCACACGGCTCTGTTGGCATCATTAAACTGCTTCGCCTTCCACCTTCCCTCTCCATGTCTCTCCTCCTACCCATACCAGGACCTCCTCCCATCTCACCTCTTCCAGGAAGTCATCATGGACTCACTTTAGCCTCGAACCTCTGAGTGGCTGTTGGTCAATCTATTCATATACTGACCAGTCATTCTTCTTACCCCCTGGGGTGGGCAGAGAGGACAGGTTTCAATGGTACAGGATGTGTAGACAGGTTGCGGGGTAGGCTGGAATCCTGTGTGACCTTGGGCAGATTGCCTAACCTCTCTGAATGCTGTCTTCCCACCTATAAAGTAAGGATCAGGCTGCTCCCTTCACAGGTTTTGAGGACTGAATTAGGTAACACAGGTCATGGGTCTTGCTGGAGCTGGGTGATCATTGAATATTAGTTTTCCCTCCTCCTTGCCCTTTTTCCCTCTGGGGTGTTCCCTTGCCCCTTGGGGAGAGGAGGCTCCACCAGCACCATGACTGGAGGCCAGCCTAAGGCCTGGGATGAACAGATCTCTGTATGCGGGTCATTGGTACTTCAGAGGAGAGCCAACTTGTCTAGAAAGAGGGTGGGGGTGTCAGGCAGTGGGCTGCCCTTCCTACCTGGGGCATGTTCCCCATGAGAACCTAACCTCCTAGCATTCTGCTTTCCTCCCTCCTAAGCCAGCTCCTCGCCTGGTAGGGCAGAGGGAGAGGAAGTGGAGGAGTGGCCACATCTGAATGGGGCTAACCAGGGAGGGCTGTCAGGCTGCGGTGGAGGTGGGGCTGCAGGAGTGCGCCTGGCGGACCCGGTGAACGGGGTGAGCATCGGGCTCTGACCTTTTGGCCCTGCAGCCTTGGGGAAATGCAAACTGGAAAACTTCCCTGATCTCAAGCGGAAAAAAAAGATATAGAATTGTTTCTCGAAGTCTTCCCCACTGAGTTAGTTTATGAGCCCCACCAGTAGCTCCGGAGCAAGCTCTACAAAAATGTTGGCAGCAAGCAGAGACCAAGAAAACATTGGTGTTTCTTAACTTAAACCAAAGTTGGAAAAAATGAGCACCAGCAGAGAGGGAGAGGAGCCCCAAACTAGACATTTCTTTATTTGCTGTTGCTATTTTGGGTCCGGCAGCCTGGCCCCGTCTGGGGGAGGGCAGGGGAGAGACTGGGGGTGGAGGGGGAAGGGGGGGGTCAGGCATTCCTGCCATCTCCCTGGGGCTGGTGGTTTGGAGGGGAAAAGGCTGCTAACCGCCCCAGGGGAGAGGACGGCTGAAGCGAACAGTCATGGGGAGGTTTCCGAGGGGTGACACTTCAGGTCAGGGGCTCCTCCAGGCTTCACTGAGGATGAACCAAAGGCAGAGAGGCGGGGTGAAGGGTGAGACTATGAATGACTTGGCATGACACCCCTTCCTCATCCTCTTACCTGGCCTGGGCTCTCCCTCTGGGGACCCAGGCCTCCTCTACCGGTTAGAGAGCCCTTCCCTCAGCCTCCCTTTCCTACTCGGAACTCACCAAAATGACTGTCTCATCTCTCGCAGCTCCCTGCCCCAGAGGAGACACTCCTCCAAGTTCACGCAGGCCCCTGAAGCCTGGGTGCTTAATGTGTTGCTTCCACTAAGGGACCGTGTGTTGTTATTCCACAAGTGAGGAACTTCTGTTCCTCAGGCCATATCTGACCCTTGATTTCAAGCAAATGGTGAAGCAGTTGTGGTGAATACATTTTTTATGTTGGGATGTTGTGGTTATTCCGTTTTGGCAGAGCTTCTGAAAGGTTCAAGATAAAAAGCAGTTAAAGACCAGTGAATAGTGGTTAACATGCTGATAAACACTTGAAAGGGAAGGGATATCAGACGATACCCTAACATCCAGCTGAAAGAAAGAAAAAACCCCAAAACAAAAAAACTGAAAGTGAAGTGGAAGGCTTTAACCTCTTCCCCTTTCGGACCTTTTTATCTCTTTTAGAGACGTGTTCTAGAGCTGCACTGTCCAGTATGGTTGTGGCTATTTAAATTTAAATTAATTACGATTAAATAAAATGAAAACTTTAGTTTCTCAGTCACACCAGTTACATTCTGAGTACTCATTTGCCACGTGGGGCTAGTACCTTGGACTGTGCAGATGTAAACCATCGCCATTGCAGCAGAAAGTTCCACTGGGAAGTGCTGTTCTAGAAGAGAACAGAGATGATGTGTTGGGAGAGGGGAGAATGGGGGTCCTGGTCTAGACATGTGTCTGCAGGGGGCACCTAGTGGGTGATGATGCAGTCAGCTTTGATGGGAAGGAATTTTGGCAGGTTTCTTAGCCGTATACCCCTCTTCCGTGAAATTCTAAGCCCGCCACACAAGGCACACACCTGATGGGGTGTCAGCTAGTATGCCCAGGCCTGGAGACCCCCCTCCAAGTTGAGACATCCTGACCCTGAAGGGGACTGTGGGTTTCTCTCCTTCTCTGGTACCCAGTATCCGATGGAGGGGATGCCCAGAGCCCGGATGCCAGTACAGATTCGGGTCAGGCTCTGGTTTGGGCTCTCTGTGGATGAAAAGGAGTTCAACCAGTTTGCTGAGGGCAAGCTCTCCGTCTTTGCCGAAACCGTGAGTGCCCAACTGCCTGCCCTCCCCACTCCCAGCCCCCGAGCTACCACGGCCCCACTCACTTCTCTTTTGCTCACTCTCCAGTATGAGAACCAGACCAAGCTGGCCCTGGTCGGGAACTGGGGTACAACGGGACTCACCTACCCCAAGTTTTCTGATGTCACAGGCAAGATCAAACTCCCCAAGGACAGCTTCCGCCCCTCGGCCGGCTGGACCTGGGCTGGAGACTGGTTCGTGTGTCCAGAGAAGACGTGAGTCATGGGCGGGGTGGGCGTGGGGACCCCGTCTGCCCCAGCCCTTTCTCTGAAAGGCCTGGGCCCTATTCATTCCTCTGTCTACTCCCACCACCCCTGCACTGGTCACAGTGACTTCCACTCAAACTCTCCCGGGACCGGGGGCTCACGAGGTAGCATTCTCTCCCGGGGAGGTGCTAATGATTGGAAAGTCCTTTACGATTAAACCAAAGCTGGCCTCCACTGAACTTTGCACTTACCAGTTATGGCCTTTTCCTCCAAGGCCCCGCAGAAAGCCCGTTTCCTCCTCCGCGTATGAACTCCTCTCTCTGTGTCTGAGGTCCTCTCTATCAGTGCCTCTCAGAGCAACCTGTCCTTCTCCATCCTCAGCACCAGCACCACCTTTTTCTCCCCTCTCTCTCTCGTCCAGTTTGGTTGATTCTCAACAATTGTTTTTTTTTTCAAACTTTTTGAGCATTGAAGAATAACATATATCATAGTCACATAGACACTTCAAACTTTTTGAGCATTGAAGAATAACATATATCATAGTCACGTACACACTTAAGTACATAGCCTGATAACATTTTACATTTCTGCGCTATCTATTGATCTTCAACTCCCCACCGGGTTTTTGGCGTCTTCAGTTGGCCCCTCTTTCTGTTCCTTTATCTTGGTGGTGACGTTCTCTTCTGTCCGCAAGGGTCTCCCTGGGTCCCCTTGGCTCTCTGCCTGTCCTCTCTCTCCCCCAACTCTCTTACTGTTGGGGTGACACTGATGCAGGAGGGTCGGCCCGGGCCCCAGGGGTGCTCTGAAGGGGGTCGTGGGTGGGTGGGTGGGGGGTGTCTCTGTGGCAGAGGCTCTGACCCAGCCCCACCCACAGCCTGCTTCATGACACTGATGCGGGCCACCTGAGCTTCGTGGAAGAGGTGTTTGAGAACCAGACGCGGCTCCCTGGAGGCCAGTGGATCTACATGAGCGACAACTACACGGACGTGGTAAGGAGGTGGTCGGGGCCAGGTGGGCCTGTCACTGAGAGAAGACAAATTTTCTCTCCTGCTCCCATGTCCCTAGCCCCCATGCTCTGGTTTCCAGAGGGACGGCGTGAAGTCCGGCACAGATCGGACACTGACCCTGAGTCATATCTGGGGTTTTGAGAATGTACGTTGTCAAGTTGCATCTTTTCAGCTTCCCTGATCACACCTGTCTCTTCTCATCCTTGCCTGGCCTGCGTTGCCCTAGAACGGGGAGAAGGTGCTCCCCAAGGATGACATCGAGTGCCCACTGGGCTGGAAGTGGGAAGATGAAGAGTGGTCCACGGACCTCAATCGGGCCGTTGATGAACAAGGTGGGCAGCACGTGGAGCCCGGTGAGCACCCCGGGGAGCTCGAGAGATGGGCTGGTGGGGCCAGCTGAGTGCAGGGCCCCTGGGCCTGGGGTACTGGCTTTTACTGGGCTGCTTCATGTGGGGGACTTCCTAGGTGAGCCCTCATTCCAGACTACAAATTGGGAGTCAGTGGCCGTTTGGAAGTCTGTGAACATTCCCCCACGTGAAGAGACCAGGAATGGCCAGGCCGTGAGTGATGGGTGCCCCTCCCCCAGGCTGGGAGTACAGCATCACCATTCCCCCGGACCGGAAGCCGAGGCACTGGGTCCCCGCCGAGAAGATGTACTACACACACCGTCGGCGCCGCTGGGTCCGTCTGCGCAGGAGGGACCTCAGCCAGATGGAGGCACTGAAGAGGGTGAGTGCAGTGGGTGGGGGGCAGGGGTGAGGGGGCGAAGCCCTGGGGAGGGGAGGCCAGCAGGGCGCAGATACAGGCAGATGCGCAGGGGACATGTACAAGTCACAGGCTCACGCGAGATGCTCACAGATCACACCTAGCACGTGCATAGCTCACAGCCAGCAGAAGCACAGATGCTCACAGATCACACCCAGCACTGGCAGAGATGCTCATTGACAGAAAACAGCCAGGTACCCATGACCCTGCAAGGGACCTCACTTGGAATTCATGCACAGACCTGGAAGGTAGAAAGGCATACCTAGAATGTGTTGTTGGCTGGGTATGCTAGGGACAGAGTCTGAGACAAAGATTCAGCTGTATGCGGTTTATTGAGACAGTGCTCTCAGGAGAGCCAGGAACAAGGATGTGGTCTCAGGTAGTCAGCTTTGGCTTGAGCTGTGACTTGGGAGAAGGCTCAGACTTCGAGCACCGCAGGATCATCCTCACCTGGACACAGTGGGGCTGGGGTTTGTACCGCCTGAGCCTTCAGTCATTGGCTGGGAGGTGCAGGGGGTGGGCTGGGCACATACCCTCCCCAGGGAGCCTGCTCCATCCAGCAAGGGTAATTCTTTGGAGAAGGGGGCTGCTGAGCATGAGTGGGCAGCTGGTCAAGGGGCCGGAGTGGGCATGTACCAGAGGACATGTACACAGTGTGAGCACACATGCCCACAGCCATGCCCAGGTGCCCTCGGGACACAGACAGGCTCAGAGTGAGCATGTGTGAACGGTGTGTGCACCTGCTCCTGGGGGCACGCAGGTGCCAGCGTCCTGCACAGCATGAGGGCCCGCCTTCCCACAACCCTCCTGGCCTGTGTCCTTCCTGCCCAAGCACATGCTGGAATTTCGGCTCAAGAACTGGGGCTCCCCTAGTCCAGGAACTGCCTTTGGCAGGCCAAGTATGCCCAAGTCCCTTCCTCTCCCTTTGGGCACAGAGAAACTAGGGAGGAATGTTGCTGGGTCCCAGGAGAGGCAAGGCTTTTGGGCAACGAGCTGTTTCTGGTGTCGTGAACCAGACAGACTCCACTCTCCCTGTAAGGGCACCCAGGGGACAGAGGCGAAGCCTTGCCGGGCGGTGTGTCCCGCCTGCTCCCTCACCACCGGCGTCAGTCCTGGAGAGGGCTGCAGCCGGCCTCCGGGACTAGCACTGTCACTGAGCTCATGGCCCGGGCATGAACGGGCACCCGAGGGTCGTTTCAGGTCACGAGATGGGTAGGAGGAGGCTTCCAGGGCTCCTAGCAGATGGGGAAAGTGTCCCTGGGAAAAGCGTGGGGGTCCCTCCACAGCGGACATAGGCCTAGCCTTATGCAGAAACAGCCTGGGGCTGGGGAGTGGGCTCTTCATTTTGCCTCTATTTGCCTGCTTCCATTTTTAAAAGTCAGGATATGAAGATGAAAAAGGAAGTGACAAGAAAACCTTGGATTCACGAAATCCACCCATAATCCAAATAAACAAACAAACCAAAAGCCCAGTGTTTTTCATCACTCCTCAGTCTACCTTCCCTTTCTGGCTCCTTGGATCTCCTCACATCCCAGGGAGCCTCTTCTCCTCCTGATTTCCTGACCTGGGGCTCTTGTTGCTGCAGAAGCTGCTCAGAGCCCCTCTCCTCCAGGTGGCCCTCCCGGGTTTTCCCATCTGGACGGTGATGGCTAGGATGGGTAGGAGCAGGAAGGGCACAGCTGGAGCTCAACCCAGGGCTCCCTGCCAACCTGCCAAGCGGCCTCTCAGTCTGCCCTGTTTTCCGATGCAGCACAGGCAGGCGGAGGCGGAGGGCGAGGGCTGGGAGTACGCCTCGCTCTTCGGCTGGAAGTTCCACCTGGAGTATCGCAAGACAGATGCCTTCCGCCGCCGCCGCTGGCGCCGCCGCATGGAGCCGCTGGAGAAGACCGGGCCTGCAGCTGTGTTTGCCCTCGAGGGGGCCCTGGTATGTGACTGTGCCCATCTTGAGTTGGTGGGGTGCGGCTTGGTTTCCCAGGGCTGTTGGGGGTTGATGCAGGGGAGGGGGCAGGGGCCCTCAGGACAAGACTTTGGCTTCCGTTCGTCTAGGGGTCATGTGGGGATAGTGGGCACAAGTCTAGGTGTCCTTCTAGAAAAAAATAGCTTATTTCTTGGCACTGGGAGACCTGCTGCTTCTTTGGTAATCAAGATGGGAGCAGGGGAGAGGGCTCCGGCCCTTGGATGGCCTGGTCTGTGATTGGAGCCAAGGGACGTGGCTCCTCTTGAAGAGGCTGTTTGGCCTGGGAGTGGGCCAGGAGGACTTTGGCCTAGCCCAAGGGAGTCGCCAGAGGGGCCTAGTGACTCCCAATGTCTTTGGTTGGACAGGAGTCCTCCTGAGATGGAGGGTCTCTCATGGGCATCCTTGGGAATTTTGGGGACAGAGGTGCCTCAGAGACCGAACTCCAGGTGGGCGGTCCTGCCTGAGTGTACTTCCCGGAGCCAGTGGAGTGGGGGTCAGCCCAGGGTTCCCCAGGGTCTGGGTGACGTGCTCCCTAAGAGATGAGCAGGCCCTTCCTGGACAGTCTGCACAGGGGCAGTCAGGGCCAGGAGGCAGCCTGTCCCCGTTCTGTTGGTCTGGGGACTCCTAGAGTTGGGAGTCAGTTCCCAGGAGGGGGCACCTCTGAAATCCAGCCAGGACTCCCTGCCCCCTGGTCGGGGGGCTTTGAGCCGTGACCCAGGGGAGCAGGTCCCACCAACTTCACTGCCTGGTAGAATCTGAGTGTGTCTGTGTGAGCCAGCAGTGTGTGTGTGAGAGGGTTTCTGGTCTGGGTGAGGGGCAGTCGGCCTTAGCTCTCGGCTGGGGAGTACAGTAGGGCAGATGCGTGATCCGATGGGATGGCTACAGAAAAGGGAGCTGAGGCCAGCAGTGCCCAGGGAGGGGAGCGGGCAGGGCCTGGAGGTCCCATCACTCTCAGGCCTTGATGGTGGGCCAGGCCCAGGGGTGACAGTTTGGGAGAGGAAACCCTCTAGGGGCCAGGTGATGTCGGAGGTTCTGGAGGGAACCCCCCAGGCCGGGTCTGAGGGCCAAGTGGTGGGGAGGCTGAAAGGAGACCACAGAACTCTGGCTCCTTGGGCCCCTGAGCTGGATGGAGCTGTCCCCCAGACTGGACCAGCTGCAGCCAGGGAGTCTTGGAAGGCAGGGCTCCCTTTGTCTCATCAGAAAGGGCCTGGCTTGTGCACAGGGCAGCACTGCGGGGAGGATGTGTGGCTCCAGCCGAGGGGTGAGGAGCAAAGACCTGGGCAGACCTCCAAGGCAGGGCTAGGTCTGAGGGTGCCTGTCCCCTCGGGAGCCAGACAGAAACTCAACTCAAGTGGGCCGAAGAGAGAAAAAGAGCCTAAGGGCTCAGATTGCCGGGACTCTGATTCACCAAGAGGGCAACCAGGCGTTAGGCCTGGCGGGAATAGGGGCTCACACGGTGTCCCTGGGACGCGGTGTTTCGGACCCGCTCCTCTGTCTTGGCCCCGTTCTCACACCAGCTCGCTCCATGTGGTGGCAAAGATGGTGCCCGTGACAAAAGGCTGACACCATCTTTACAGCCAGCAAAGCCCTACTCCGTAAAACAGCGCAGCCCGGCGGCATCGCCCGCTTCCCTCACAGCTGGAGACCCGGGAGGGGAGAGCGTGCCTTCTCGGTGACGCCGGTACAGTCTTGTATGTGACGGGCTGGCTCTGCTTGGCGCGGTGCACACCCCCCACAACAGCCCCTGGGCCCGAGGGTGAGGAACAGAATGTTCTGAGGGACTGTCCTGAGTCATGCCCCTTTTCTGTGGTTGACAGCCCCACTACATTGGGAAGAAGAGCATCTGGAAAGGAAAAAAAAAAAAAACGCACAACAGTGCTGGGCAGAGCTACAGATGACAACCACAGGACCCTTGAATGAACAGTAGGGAGCAAGTGTGGGTTGTTGAGCGGAAGAGGAGTGCTCTGGTCAGAGCTGGGTCTTGGGGCCATTAAATAAGTGTCTGTGGAAGATGGTTGGGGAGAGAGAGCCTTTCAAAGGGAGACCACCGGGAGTCTTGGGTAGAGACCTGGGATGAGGTGACCATCTGGGGTGGGAGCCGTGGGACTGGAGCTAGGGGAGGCGGAGTATCAGGGCTCGGAGAGGGAAGGGTCAAACGGGTCTCAGAGGCTCCTCTGGTGGACAGTAGTGCTGCTCCCATGGCCAGGCCACGGGGCGGGGTGGGCCTGGGGCCGCGATGAGTTCACGGTTGGCCCTGGCAAGTGTGACACACACAGTGAAGTGCTGTGTGAGAAAGATGGATTTGGCGGCTGCCTGCCAGGCGGCCCAGGGTCGGAGGCGGGCGTGGGGGCTGAGCGTCAGCTGCGAGGTGAGGGGCTGGGAGGAGAGAGGGCGTGAGGCCAGAGGTGCTGGGAGACACGTGGAAGGCAGCGTGGATGGCTCCGGGGCTGGCCAGGATCTAAGGGAAGAGGACGAGCAGGGCTGGGGGACCCACTGCCAAGCCTGCATGGCTCGGTGACTGGGAGAATGAAGAGGGGCATTTCCCAGAACAGAGAAACCAATCCGTTTACTCTTGGTGTGGGAGAAAATGTTACGAGGGAGCGCTGGGATGAATGTCAAGTGAGCAGCCCCGGGAAGGTGGCTGATTGTGATAGATGTGACTCGCTTGTAATGAGAGGAAGGAATCAACTCAGTGGGGCCCTCTGAGTCCCAGGGGAGCTCTGCTGACACAGGGAACCAGAGGCAGACTGGTTGGGGCGGCTGGATCCCACAAACCCGGAGCTGGGGGACACAGTCTTCGGTGTGCCCGGCATTTGGACGGGAGCCGTCTGGACCACTCTGTACTTGAGTCAAGGAGCCCCCATCAGCATACTCATGCATGTGTACGTGTGCGCACGCACGCACGCACACACACACCCATGCACACCCCTTCCGTGGTCACCTTTCCATGCTTCCTGCCAGGACCGAGGACATCCCTTGTCCCAGGAGGGACTGATGCCCCAGCAACGCACTGGGGCTAGAGTGCATCATGGGGGCAGACGGCTGGGTTTTCTGGGTGCCAAGACCGATCTCCTATTCCAGGTACTGGCCTTTGCCTGCTGGTCCCTAATGCCTGCTAATTTACTTGACAAGACTGTGGTGGGGCTGGTGAGGCTTCTGAATTGCTCAGGATTGGTTTGATTTCTGCTTCCTCTGCTTCAGCCATTACTTAGTGACTGCTACCAAACTTACGGAAGTCATCACATCCTAGGTAGGGTCCTTGTAAGGATTAAGGACATGACACATGTACGAGGTGCTTCTCAGCCTTAATGCATGTAGGGCCCATCTGGGTTTCTTGTTAAAATGCACACTCTTGATTTGATGTCTGGGTGGGGCCTGAGGGTCTCCATGTCTAGCAAGCCTCCCGCGATGCCCATGCCGCCGGTCCAAGGATCATCTTCGGGGAGCAAGGAAGTCAGGTGCATAGTACCTCGTGAAGATGAGGGAGGCAGTCACATCAGCCCTCTACTTGTGTGCTTTTCTGAGGGTGGCAGGGTGTCTGTTCCTGGCTGAAGGTATGTGGCCAGGGTCCTAGGGAGGGAGGCAGGGAAAGAGGACGGGTTCTCCCTGCTCCGTGATGGGGCAAAAGGGGTCTTTTCTTCTAATGATCCTTGATCTGATGGTGGAGGCCTGGCTTCTCCTGTCTCATTAGGAAGAGGGATATTCACATGTAAATGCAAATAAACCCAACAGAATCTGCATCTTTGAAGTGTTGGAGGGCAGAAGAAGAGTCATTGCAGAGTGACAGTGCCTGAGGACGGAGGCTCCTTGGAGGCTCCTGGGGAGCAGAGCTTGGAGGACTGTGGGTGGTGGCCAGGTGGCCTTCCTGGTAATCTGACATTTCTGGACTTCTGGGCTCAAGGATCAGGCCTGTGGCGCTCCCTTGCCTCCCACCACCCCTCCCCTGGCTCACGCGTCCACCAGCAAGCCGGGCCTCACTTGCCAGCTCCCCTCCTTGAAGACGTCTTGCTGGAAGGCAGGCCCTGTCTGCTCATTAGCACGGGCAGCCTTTCCCTGAAACCTTCTGCTGGGGCCAAGCCTGGCTCCCTCAGAGGAGCGGGAGGCCCTGGCTCTGTCTGCTAATCGTCTGCTGTCTCCATCCCGAGCATTATTTTATTTTCGTATTATTCTTTTTCCAGCTAATATCCTGGCATTCCCAAAGACACCGGGTTTCATAATCTTCCTGGCTTTCCCAGGGAGCTGGGCAGCAGAGTACAAAGCTGCTATTATAGCGTGTTCCATCCAGCCTCCCTCTCCTTGCCCCACACCCCTCACTGCCGCCGCCACCACCGCCGGCTCCCACCCAGTCACCCCCTCCCGACGCCACCGGCCTCGCGGAGAACTCTGGTGATGGTTGCCGGGGATGAGCTCACAGAATCCATCCTATGGCCCTTGCCCTGGGCCTGCCCTCCATGCGTGAGGATTTTTTCCAGAGCCCTGTCTCTGTGGTTGGCCCTGAGTGTTGAGAAGGGTTTTCTGAGATGCCTGAGCCTGGGCAGGGAGTGGAGGAGATGGAGACAAGGCTACATGTGCACAGAGCCTTGGGGATTTCTAGAGCTGGGGGGAACTCTCATGTTTGGAAGCCCCCTCCACGTGGCTTTGGCGCTGCTTGAATTGGATGCGAGGTTGAGGGTGTGGTTGTGTGATCTGTGTGTACACGTGTGTCTGAATGTGTCAGCCTGTGTATGATGTGCCTCACATGATATGTGTGCGTGTGTGATATGTACGTGCAAGTGTGCATTGATGTGTATGGCATGTGCACACATGGGATATACGTGTGTGTTGTGTGTCTGTGGTGGGTAAAGTCTGGCGTAAGGTCCAGGGTTTTCTCCAATTCTCAAGCAAATCCAGGATCCAAAAGAGGATAAGAATGACTAAAATCCATTTTACCTTGTGCCGAAGCCCAGGTTGAGAGCTTTATGTACATT